GGCGTCGTCCCCGGCAGCGGCGTAGCAGCGTGTGACATCCTCCCGCAGAGGGGAACGCGGCCGGCAAGCCTTCCTTCGCGGATGAAGGGGTTCAAAGCCTGCTCTACAAGATGACTGGGCTCAACCTACAGAAGGTTTTTAGGCCGGTGAAAGCGGAGCTTAAACCGCCTAAGTACAAGCTGATGACAGAAGCTCAGCTGGAAGAGGTAGGCTGCTCTGCTTCGGTTTGAAATGAGTTTTGGGTTTAGCAAAAAGACTGTAACTGCCCGTATTTCTGCTTTTGTTAATGCTGCCGTTGAAAACATTTTGGTTTCTTTCTTTTGTTTCAGGTCACTTCCTAAAACTCAGAATCACAGAATCATTAGGTTGGAACAGACCTCTGAGATTGTAAAGTCCAACCATTGACCTAATACCACCATACCCACTAAAACATGTCCCAGAGTGCCACATCTACACATCTTTAGATACCTCCAGGGACAGTGACTCCACCACTTCCCTGGGCAGCCTGTTCCAATGTTTGCCCACTCTTTCAGTAAAGAAATTTTTCCCAATGTCCTATCTAAACCTCCCCTGGCACAACTTGAGGCCGTTTCCTTTTCTTCTGTCATTAGTTACCTGGGAGACTGACCCCCACCTCACTACAACCTCCTCTCAGGTAGCTGTAGAGAGCGATAAGGTCTCCCCTCAGCCTCCTTTTCTCCAGGCTAAACGACCCCAGTTCCCTCAGCCGCTCCTCACAAGACCTGTTCTCTAGACCCTTCACCACCTTCGTTGCCCTTCTTTGGACACGCTCCAGCACCTCAATGTCCTTCTTGCAGTGATGGGCCCAAAAACTGCACGCAGGATTCGAGGTGTGGCCTCATCAGTGCAGAGTACAAATTACTGTTTCTTCACTTCAAATAGTCAGTTTTATTTAGCCAATTTCTCTCGATTTGTGTGGAATATGGAAGGAAATTTGATGCTTTTTTTCTTGAGTGACAAGTTTCCTTTATTATCACCTTTCCTTATATTTACTAGTTGTGTTAAATGTCTTTATTTGCTATTTAAATTATAGCCCTGAGATGCCTTTGACTTCTTTTTTTTCTCCTATTATCTGACGATGGTCCAGGATGGCAAAGGGGCCTGACTTAAGCCAGTTCTTCTGTGACCACAAACACAGCTATATATAAACTGTTGATTGTTGTTTATGCTTTGGGGGAAATTTGCTGTGGAAAAATACCTGAAATAAACTCGGTGTTTGTAGTAGTATATGTAGATTTTAGTTTTGAAACTGGCAATTTGCCCAGGTTGCAGTAGCGATATATTGTTCACATGCAATTCATCTACCTGGAGGCTGAATTAGCATCTCACTTCTCAACTGCAGAAGAAAAAAAAAAAAGATTTTAAAATTTTCTCTCTAAACGAAAATACTTGTCCCCAAATTGTATGTTAGCTTTCCAATAGGATGATTTTTTTAATCGTTAAACTTTTTTTTTTTTTTTTTTTTTTTCAAGGCTACCAGAAAAGCCATTGAGGAAGCTAAAGAAAAACTAATCATGCCTCCTGTTTTGAATGAACGAGAGCAAATTGATGATGTCTTAGCAGAAGACAAATTCCTTGAAGGAACTGAAACTACAAAATACGTGTTTACAGATTTGACTTATTCGGTCCCACATCGTGTAAGTAACAATGTATTAATTTATTTTAAGAGCTTTTCAAAATAAGCTTTAGTTTTTAATAAAATGTAATTATAGCAGTTTGCAAACAGGCTGAGGAGTTGTAAATTCAGTCTGGTACAAGGCAGTACAAATACATACATTTCCAAATGTTTGTTTCTGACTGATAATAATAAATTACATTCCAGTGCTCAGGAGCAGGCATGGGGGCAGGAAGCTGTGGGATAGGAAGGTGATTGTTTTAAAAGCAGATGCTTGTGATGTGTGAGGAGTTCTGAGTTCTTCCATACTTCCTAGAAGCTTTCTCTGGAATTGGATTACTTAGTACTGTGTGTAGACCAAAAGGTGGAGCTACTTCATAGTTGCAAGATCTAATGGAAAGCTGAGTAAGTGCCAAATGAATTCAGGGGAAAGCTGTGAAGAAACAGTCCTCAAATAGAACTGTGGAGTATAGGGATAAAGATTTTTTTTTTTTTTTTTTTTGTGGAAACGTCTAGGTTGTCTTAAGTAGCAGTAGTAAGAGGCTGGAAAAATTCTTAACAAATTGCTATGAGTCCAAGAATTCTCCATGGTTCAAGCATGCATATAGTCGTGATCTTGTGAAATGAACTGCCAAGTCTTCCATCTATTACTGCATCTGAGAGCTGTCTCCAGGAACTGAAGTACTCAGTGTACTGAAAACTTCCTCAGCCCAACAAAGTTCCCTGTATGCCACCCTAAGTCAAATGTGCTTGTGAACAGATCCAACTATATGGCTTTGTTTGTGGCTTTTTTTGTTTTGTGCTTGCCATTACTTGATTCTAGTGCCTACGTCTGAAACAAAGTTAAAGTAGAAGACACTTGCATTCTGAATTTAGTATGCGTTAATAAATGCATAGGATCAGGCCAGCAGCAATGCTAACTCCTTTCTCAGGGTATTAGTTACCTTTCTAAATGTCACAGAGCTGTAGCTTTTAGTGTAGGCACATGCACAGTTATGTCATACAGTAAGATTAAGGTGCAAATGTAGCACTTAATTATCAGGTTCCAAGGGGGAAATGGTGAATCTAGCACATAGCAACAATCAATTAGAAACTGGTATTATTAGCGTGTGTTTAGTTATAGAAGGACTTTGCCAAATAAGGATCTTTTTTAACAACAGTTCTGGCTACGAAGAGAGCAGACTTTGGGAGACAATGGTCTTTCTTTACCTTCTTTTCAGGAACGTTTCATTGTAGTTAGAGAACCAAATGGCATATTACGCAAAGCAACCTGGGAAGAACGAGACAGAATGATACAGATATTCTTCCCAAAAGAAGGGCGCAGAGTTATTCCCCCAGTGTTATTCAAGGATGAACACCTTGTGGTAAGATCTTCCTGGATTTGAAAACTGGTAATTTTTACATAATTGTGCTCTGATAGTGAAACGGTGCTCTTTGGACAGAGTAGCTCTCCAAAAGCCAGTCTGGTTGTGTGTTTTAAACTGCTTGAATTCAGTTTTGAACAATTGCTTATCATTGTAACTTAGTTAAAATACTTACCTGGCCCTAATCTGAAACTTTATTGTAAGTCCTGGGTAGGTGTAAGTATTCTGTTGTACTAGAAATCTATGTACCTTATGTCTTGAGGAAACTGTATGCTTAATCTGTGATCTAGTGTTTCAAAACCAAAAATCAACAGACACTGTATTAACAGCAGTTACTGCACTTTTTGTCTTGTGATTAAGGGGATACTGACTGTAAGTGTTGCTCAGAACAGAGGCGTTGTGGCTGCTGTTTTGGTTTTGGGGAGTTGGAATGGTGTGGTACAGAATCTATTCCTGAAATTTAACTGTTGTTTTAGACCATGTTTCAGCAAGACCGTCATGAGGATATCCTTAACATGTGCATTGCTCAGTTTGAGCCAGATTCACCTGACTATATCAGAGTGAGTTCACTTTTCATTTTTCTAGTAAAAATATAGTATTAGTAGAAGAAACTTAGGGTTTGTTTTGTAAACGTAAGTATTAAATTAAATATAGCAACTGTAGTTGCTGTTGAATATGTTAGTCTACACTTGCCTTTAAAGTGTTTACTTCTCTTTAAGCTGTAATAATATCCCAAATCACTGAGAATGTGACTTCTGTTAGGCATTTTTTTCAAGTATCTTTTCTTCAAAGTAAAATTTCACCTCTGCTCTAGCATTTTTCTCCTGAAAAATAATTACAACTTGACAGCAGAGAAATAAGGGTTCAGAAGTTATGTCCCTCCCCAGATTTTCAGTACATAGCTAATATTTAGTGCTCTCTTAACGTAAAGATGTCTGTGCCTAAATACTGGGTTATTCCAGCGTTACCTTGAATTACAACATGTACAGAGCTTTAAGGTAGCATGGTTCAGCCTGTAGCCTACTCCTGCACTTTAGGGAGCTCTGAACACAGATAAAAAAAAACTCTGAAGTGAGAGGTAAAGGGGAGAAACTGTCATCAAGCTCCAGTTACGCTAATGAAACTGAAACCTTTTCTGGGTATAGGTTCATCATCGGACATATGATGACATTGAGAAACATGCCAAATATGATCTGCTCCGTTCAACAAGACACTTTGGAGGAATGGTATGGTATCTAGTAAACAGAAAGACGACAGATGGCTTACTAATAGATATGATCCAGAGAGACCTGTAAGTGGTGTTTGTCACTTATTAATTCTGCTTATCTAAGCAAACAGAAAACAATAAGTACCATTGTTTGAAAATAAAATCAGTATTTCTGTAATATCTATAGAAGTTTTCGTTTGTGTGAAATTTTAGGCTAGCTGTAACTAGGTGCTAAATGGAAGCACAAATGGCAGTCCATGAAGTGGCAGGGTATTAAAGTAGGTTTCTTCAGAAATTAGCCTTTTGTAGTTGCTGGGTTTTTGTTTCCCATCTGATTGTCAGTAGACTTCCCGCTCTGGGCACTACTGATCTTAACGCCTTACAATTACTGAGCTCAGTTTTGGCTTTTAAGATTGACACACTCTGGGGTTTTAGAGCAATTCTTAAGTAGCTTAGGAACAGATAGATGCACTTTCATTTTAAACGGGTGGATTTCTCTAAGATATGCTGCTAAACTTATCCAAAACTCCCTGAAGTAAACAATATTTAATGGTTCAAAATGAGCTAGAAGTTAGTACAATTAGAACTCCAAGTTGCAGTGATGGTGGCATTTGTTTCCTACTGTTGAAGTTCCAGACTTCCAACAGGTGGTCAGATCTTGCTTACAGGTGGCCAGTTTAAACCTGAGGATATGGAGAAATACAGGGATGTTCCAGTTCTGGCATCAAATTCTTAAAAGGAAAATTCAAATATCTAGACAATTTAAATTACTAGAGTTTGGAGCATCTTTACCTGCCACCTACCCACTTTTGGCTTATGCTTATGTTCATCTAACACACCTGTTCCAGGTTTAAATTCAGCTGAGGGCCAGGTGTCACAAGATTGCTACTACTGCTTCTGTAAAACATGCTGGTTATGGCAGTCAGTGTTAGAAAGCTTCTCTTTGTCAGGGTTGTTCTGCTAAATACTTGTTATTGGGAAATTAATTGTATTTACAGAGAGATTTCAGCTTTATTACTGCCAAGCAGTCCATCAGGCTTAAACTGCAGTAGGGATAAGTTTATGTACCTTACCTGCTGCACCTTGATGTTCAGGTGCTCCTGGTTTTCCTTCTCAGGGAAGGGTTGCCATTGCAAGGGATGAGGGGATGCCTGTTTAGCCGTATATTCTAATGACTGTATGCTCAATGAAAGCAGAAGTTTATGAAAGCCAGTGGTGTGCAAAGTACACCACAAAGTACACTTTCTCTGAATACTCCGAAGAGAAAGCAATTGCTCTAAATGGCCTTTTTTTGTTTAGGCTGGATGATGTTACAAGCTTAATTACACTGTATCATATGCTTCATCCTGAATGTCAATCGGCAAAAGAAGCGAAAGAAGGCAAACTTCAAGGAGTTGATCTGATCAAGGTATGCTTTTCTACTTTAACTACAGAAGAGAAAGCTTTTAAACAGTAGAAGACTATTTAGTAGTCTAATTTTCTCTGTACTTTCAGCAGAGAGTTAACCAGAACTGTTGCACACCAGGTTTTGTGTGTTTGTTTTTTTTTTTTTAAACTATAGATAGCTGCACCAGGATTTCAGTTGTAGCTGGCTGATCTAACACTGGAATGATGAAATCTCATTATGCAACTGTGCTCTTAGTTGTACATTAATCTCTCTCCTGCCATGTTTGCAGGTCTTTGTGAAAACTGAATCACAGAAAGAAGGCTATATACAACTGGCCCTCCAAGCTTACGAAGAAGCAATGGCTACTTTTACAGCTTCATGAAATCAACCTTAGTTCATTGTGTGTTTTAACTCTGTTTATAAACATTCTCTGTACCGGACTCCACAATAAATACTTGAAACAAGTGAGGGTCCTAGGAAATGTTTTCCTAAAATATTTAAGAATCACTGCAGCAGCTTGCTCTCTTGAGAAGTTCTGCAAGTGAACTTACAGCAGTCATCAAGACTGGTGGTGTGAGGTGACAACATAGCCTGAGTTTAATTCCTTTACTGTTGCATCTTGAATGTGGAGTTGCCCACAATTCACTTCACTAATACCAAAGTAAGCATTGCGTGGACACCACATCCATCCCTTAACACATATTACTGGAGTCAAAATTACTCTTTAGAAAGCTGTGTAGATACCAGTTCTACACACACTTACAGAGATGCTGCTTTTCAGAACAGATCAGCATCATTATTTGTGTAGAACAAAAATTATCATAGTGACATTAAAAAAGGGAACACTGATATTTACCAAACTCTGATATTTACCCTGTCTACAGGTTAGAGTAGAAGAGTAACTAACCTACTGATTGTTAACAGATACAAGCTAAATAGCACAGTGAAAAAGTAACTGTGCTGAAGTGTATATGCTAAGAAGTCAGGTTAAAATACTAATGCTTGGCATTATGCTCCTGTTTCAAATATTTGCAATGCATACGAAGAATAGCAGAATTACTAGTAAAGAGAGGACTGAAGAATAAAATGGTTAAAAGGGTTTATTTAATTGCTTGATAAATGAAAACATTTTTTAGTATGCACTGGATCAGGCCTACATCTTGGAATTTCAACATACTGGAAGCTGATTCTTTTTGTGCAGTTGCTCGGTCTACCCTTCTTTCTACATGTACATGGACCACTTACAGTATAAAAAAAAAAATCAAATTAAATTGGAGCCCAGAGTCCACAGAACTTCATTCCTTCGTTTAGAGTAACTGATTTAGTCATCGAAGAAGTATGTTCACTCATCTAAGATCTCTTCATCCAGATTGATATCTGTGGTATCAATATCCTCCAGATCCAAGTTATCTAAGTCATCTTCCAAGTCCAGCAGTGTCTACAAAAAGAAAAGACTAGGTTAAGGGGATACTAACATGGTTACCTGTTAGCCAGCTTATGTCATATGACCCTATGATGTATTTGCACATTCTGCAGAACACCAAGCTGAGGCAGTGAGGTGGAACATCAGTGTTAAAATAAGCTGTAGAGAAGCTGCCTTCGTGGTAGGTAAGCAGCTTTCAGAGCTGCAACTTTTTACCATGTCTGTACAACTGTGTTTGGACTTCACCCTTCATTCCTTGTAAACCCACAAGGCTGCAGGAACCAGGCTGTATTACTGTGTACAGTTTCTGCATACAACAGGAAGGGATCCATACGCCATACAGGTCCTAAGCTGACTGGGTCTATTAACATAGAAAGTGACATTTTCCAGTAGCCTGGTTTAATCACATTATTAGTTGAAGTCTTCAATGTAAAATACGTTTAGTGCTTGTACTTCCTTTCATAAAAATATGTATTTCAGTACCTTTTGATCTCTTGTTGGAAGTAGATCAGAATTCTGCAAAACCGTCTTCATCACTTCTTGTTTAGGAGATGGAACTGGTTCTTCAGCCTTCTAATGAAAAAGAGACTCCTCAAGTTTTCAAATTTAAATTCTTTCAACAGAAGCAAATAAACAACAGCAGACCTCTAATCCCCCTCTCCCAGTGGTTCTCTCAGGTTCCCTCAGTAATTCTTCAATCACATTTTCAGCACCAGTAAGCCTGCTGGTTCTCACTCCACAGGAGACTACTGTTTCTCCACCCAGTTTATTTAAAGCAGCTGATGATGGAACTGATGCAGTGAAAACAACCTTCAGAAAGTTACCAAATAATTTAAAAAACCTGAAGTG